TCAATGTTTCATTCTCACTATTCGACACACAAAGCACCGTTTGATGCGTTTTCCATAAACAATCTTTATAAATCATGTTTTCATTCATTTTTGGGACCGAGAGGTAAAATATTCATACCTAGGTGTAAATTTTACACCGTGAGAGGTAAATTTTTACACCTCGAGAGATAAATATTGCCCCGCGAGGGATAAATCTTAATTTACCCTAAATACAAGTTGAAAAGAACATAATTATGAAATATGTTTCATATAATATGTTATCGAATCTAGTTGGATTTCTTCGTATTTATATATCAAAACACCTGCACCTGTGTATTCCAACCGCCAATAATTGGAAAAATTAACAAAACGCGAGAATTGTCGCAAGAAGCTCGAATTAAAAACATCTTTTCAAATAATTTGTTTTCGAATTCAGTCGTAAGCAATTTTGTTTTGCTGTACGTGTCATAATTTCATGCATTTTCAGTTGAGTCGATTTTCAAATCGAATATTTGCGATACTTACATGAATCTCCGGGACTTCTTAGAATCTTCGAGGAAAACACATTTACCTATTTATCTATATATTATTGTGCGTAGCACATTTTTGTACACGATTAAAAACATACTTCCACTCAACCGATTTGGCTCGCACTTATACCAATCGAAAGGTAATGTAACGTATATTTGCAGAAAAATACTAAACACTCAAAAATGTCAGTGCGTATTTGAGTTACGCACGTTTATGTGAGCATGTGTTTTTGGATCCGTTCATTATTTTTTTCAAGTTTTTCGATCGTTCGACACCAAAATTGTGGTTTTTCATACTTCTATGAGTTGGTAGTTCTATCCCAGAGAATTTAATATAGTTAATTTCATAATTCTTAGAAAAATATAGAACATCAAAAGTGCGTTATAGGTAAATCCTATGAATGTGTTTCTAAAATTGAGTTAAAATAAAAGTGATTAGTTTCGCGCAGTTGTCGACACCTTTTTTTTTTGTTTTACCCGTTGAACATATTTATTAAGAAAATTTCTTTTACATTTTAATTAATTTTTTTTCACTATTTTCATTCGACTAAAATGCAATTCATGCAATTAATGCTGGATTTTATTATTTGGATTCATGCTAGATTTCCAATGAGAAACCATTTGTTTCTGAATTAAGCCAATGTACGTATGCACCGAAAGGAACATACAACGATCGCTAGTATTGTGTCAATGGGCACAGCAACCCAATTATGAGTGTATTCGGAAGTTTACAGATTTTTGCTTAGCATTCGTATATGATTTATCAACTTTTCACATCATGACCGATATGGTCGAACCAAGCAGCAACATTGATATGGTTAAAGTTTGACAAAGATATATTGAAATTAACTCTCAACCGAGCAAGTGGCTCCGTTGTGGTCCGAGAAGATGGTTTTTCAATAATAAATAAATATATAAAAACTATATTCTTGTGCGGAAAAGGTGCTGCATTGTACTGTTTGATCCTTTCCACGTATTACAGCCAAAAAAAATTGAACATCGATCATTAGATGGCGCTCCGTGGAGCTAAATATATTTTCTGGACACAAGCGGGCAAATTGGACCAAAATGGGCCCATGGCTTTATAGTTGTAAAATTGGGAATACATAGTATATCATCCAAAGTAGGATTATTCCGAAAACCATTTCAATGCGCAATATATCAATAAAATTGGATGAACCTTAGAAAAGTTACAGAGACATGTATTCATTTGAATTTTTGTAAATGTCAAAAACCGAAAAAAAAGCCATTTCTCCACCAGAATTGATAATATTTTCGGTGTAAAAAGCAATATATCATAAAAAGTTGTATATTTCATTCAATTTTATCGACATATGGCACGTTTGAGAGATGCATCTTTCTAGCTTCCAGCACAGTCTCACTTTTGAAAATATATTGCGTTTTTTTTTTCAATTTTACAGCCATAAAACTATGGGTCCATTTCGGTCTTAAGTGATTTAGCTTGCCCGTTTTCGGGTTAATATTCTACATGACAATCGAATACGGAACTCAAAGGAAAAAATCTGATTTTTCAATTGATTTCAATTTTGGCGTCTTTTTGCTTCAGCCTCCTTGAAATAGTCAGCCACCTCCTTGTTATCTGAAAAATAATATAGTTTGAATTACGTTTTTTTCTAAACAAAAATGTTCAACATTACAAAGCAGCAGTCTGATAAGGTGTCTCATGTTGATAATTTGTATCAGTAAGACTGGCTCCATTGGCGAAAAGGATTTTAACGATCTGTAAGTTGCCTGGAGAATAATATCGACCAATGAGAAAGACTAGATTAATTACTCATTTTGTGGAAATAAATATTCAAAATTACCACTCCAAGCAGCATAATGAAGAGGTGTCTGCTTGCGACCGTCTTTAAGATTAACGTTAGCTTTTTTTGCGATGAGCAATTCGACAATCTCCATGTGATCTGAAAAATATCATCGATCAATGTTAATCAAGTCTTTCTCTCATTAAGTGAAACTATTCAAAATTACCATTCATAACAGCATGATGAAGAGGTGTCCGATTTTGGAAGTCCCCTAAATCTACCTTGGCTCCTTTCGTGATGAGCATTTCAGCGACATCCTTTTGTCCTGAAATATAGCACAGATCAATGAAAAAAATCAAACCATTCTCTTATTTACCGAAAATGAATATTCAAAATTACTAGTCACAACAGCATGATGAAGAGGTGTCCGGTAATGGCAGTCTCCTAAATCAAGCTTGGCTCCTTTCGTGATGAGCATTTCAGCGACATCCTTTTGTCCTGAAAAATAGCACAGATCAATGAATAAAATCAAACCATTCTCTTATTTACCGAAAATAAATATTCAAAATTACTAGTCACAACAGCATGATGAAGAGGTGTCCGATCATGGAAGTCCCCTAAATCAACGTTGGCTCCTTTCGTAATGAGCATTTCAGCGACATCCTTGTGTCCTGAAAAGTAGCACAGATCAATGAATAAAATCAAACCATTCTCTTATTTACCAAAAATGAATATTCAAAATTACCATGCATAGCAGCATAATGAAGAGGTGTCCGTTTATAATAGTCTTTAACATCAACTTTGGCTCCTTCTGTGATAAGCCTTTCAGCGACATCCTAGTGTCCTGAAAATTTACACCAGTCAATGAATTAGATCCAAGCGCTTTCTTATTTAGTGAGCAAAAATATTCCAAATTACCATTCTCAGCAGCTAAATGAAGAGGTGTCCCATCAAAATCGGCCGTAACATCAACTTTGGCTCCTTTTGTGATGAGAAAGTCAACGACATTCGAGTGACCTGAAAAAGAACACCGATCAATGAACAAAATCCAAACAATTTCTTGTTTTATGAAAATAAATGTGCAACATTACCATTCGTAGCAGCCAAATGAAGAGGTTTACGCTGTTTTTTGTCTGTCGAATCAACTTTGGCTCCTTTCTTGAGGAGCTTTTCAACGTCCTCCAAGTTACCTGAAACAGATGAATGAAATAGATTTAATCAATTTCCCATTTGGTGAGCATAGTTTTCCAGAGCTACCATTCTCAGCAGCGACATGTAGAGCTGTTCGGCCGCTTTCGTCTTTTTTGTTTGCTTGAAATTAAAAAAAAAATAAATCAGTGAAGTGAATCAAAGAAAAATGTCTTGCATCCGCTCTTCAAAATCCTCATCAAAAGATGAACTTTTCACGCTCTTGTGTAGAAAGACAGCGAAATGAGTGTTCAGTTATTTGGAGGACTTCTTCAATTCCACAGAAAAAATAAGGTAACTTATGTCGAGAACCTATAAAATAACCCATAAATTGAGCCTATTTTTTAAAATATAAATCCCGAATTCAGCCAGAAAATTTCCATTTTTCTTTTATTGAAGCGAATATTTCACGTTACACTTAAAAAAAACGATTCCGTTTTGGTGTAGTATTTGGAAAAAAACAACAATACCGTCAGAGACAAATGCTAATTTCGAACTGATAATTACTTGATAGAGAATATGAATAACACAATGACGATTGGAATGTATGATTCAACGCGTTGTTCTTTTCTTAATCTAATTATACGTCAAACGAATGTTAAATGAAACGTTACATTTTGTATTTCCTAAAATGCAACAAATTCGTCATGAATGGTTTGAATCAATTGAGTTTTGGTTATTTTGGCCTAGATTCTTTGTTAGATTGATGGAAAATGCATCAAACGGTGCTTTGTGTGTCGAATAGTGAGAATGAAACATTGA